CTCCTTGCCTGTGGGAACCATGTCCTGCTCCAGCCTGTGTGTGCCCTCCTCCTGCGGGGTGGCCACCCCGGCCCCTCTGGCTGACACGTGCAACGAGCCCTGCGTGCGGCAGTGCCCCGACTCCACGGTGGTGATCCAGCCCCCGGCCTCAGTGGTCACCTTCCCCGGGCCCATCCTCAGCTCCTTCCCCCAGCAGAGCACTGTGGGCTCAGCAGGAGTGCCTGCTGTTGGAGGGGGCTTTGGGGGCAGTTTTGGAGGCCGTGGGGGCTCTGGAGGCTCTGGGGGTTATGGTTATGGGGGTTTTGGGGGCTATGGGGGCTCTGGGGGCTGTGGGGGCTCCAGAGGTGTCGGCACCTGCGATTTTGGGGGCTGGCGCAGTGGCCACAGGTACCTCAGTGGCAACTGCGGGCCCTGCTAAGCCCCTCACCGAGACCCAGGAGAGCTCCAGGAAACCCCCCGGCACATCCCCACACGGCACCTGAAGGAAGGACACCCCTCTGGCATCGCTGGGCTCCAGAACTTGGGCACCTCGTGCCTGCTGGGGACCCAACTCTGCCCCTTTCCTGCTGTGCTTGAGCCTCCCCTCCGGACCTGCTGCCTCCTCCCAGCACAGCCCCGGGTTGGGCTCCTGCTCCTACTCCTGCTCCTGCTCCTGACGGGGGCTCAGCTGAGCTCTGCCCACTGCCAGGAGCCAGGGAAGCCCTTGGCCAGGGCCCTGCTCTTCTGGCAACCCCCTCCTCCCCCCCAACTACAATAAAAGCTGTCTTTGCATCGCAATGTTGAGCCCTGGTTTCATTTGCTCTTTCCTCCACACCCAGTCCCTGAGTGGCACCGGGGCTTTCCAGCAGCTCCTGTTCGGTGAATCCTTAGGAGAACTTGTGGGAGCTGCCAGGCTTCCTCCTGCCTGGCCCTGGCCATCCCACCCCTCGGCAGGACAGCCCCCACAGCCATCACCATCATCATCTCCCTCTGCAGCAGCTTCCCCCTAGTTGCCCTTCCTGTCTCCTCCCCACTTTGGGCTCCTGCTCTCTGCAGCCCAGCCAGAGCTCCTGGGCCTCACAGGCACTTCCCTGCCCTCTCTGGACATTCCCAGTGGGCTGCCTGAAGCCCCAGGACCCTGGGGACTGGAACACAAATGGAATCACTCCAACACACATGGCCCAGCTCAGAGTCACCTGGGAGGCCGTGGGTCGAGAGGGGAGAGGGTGAACAACCCCCAGCACCTCCCCATCTCCTTTGCCTCCATCCTCTCCAAGGGTCTTGCACCCCCACACCACCTCCCTGCCTTTTTTTACTATGGGTTCCACTGCTCCTTGCAGCCCTTCTGGCCCCTTCTTGCCTCCAGATGCCCTTCCTGGGATTCCCTGTGTCACCCACACATCCCCCATGGACACAGCTCTGCCCAGGAATGGCAGGAGTGGTTCCCACAGCCCCGTGCTCTGGACCACACTCTGCTGGGCCTGGGTGGCCTTTGAAGCCCATGGAGTCTCCGTGGCCAAGCTGGACTATGGGGTCCATGGGGCCTGTGGGGCCTGTGGGGTCTGGCAGGACTAGGGGGCTCAGAGGGTCCATGGGGCCTGGGAGGTCTTTGAAGCCCATGGGACATTTCTGACCTATGTGGTCTCTGAGGTCCAAAGGACCTATATGGGCCAGGGGGATTATGTGGCACATATGGAAGGCAGTGACCTCAGCAGGGTGGGCAGTTTGACCCAGACAGGCAGACCCTCCCCGAGATTCGGGGGAAGTGGGAAACAAGGAAGGATGAATTAAAACCAGGGCTCGACATTGCAATGCAAGAAAGCTTTTATTGCAGCTGGAGGGGAGGAGGGAGCTGGGACAAGAGCAGGGCCCTGGCCAAGGGCAGGTCCATCTCCAGGCAGAGGGCAGAGCTCCAACGAGCCCCAGCCCAGGAGCAGGAGCAGGAAGCCAGAGCGAATCCTGTCAGCAGGGACAGAGA